TATTGCTGAGCGCCTTTGCTGCCCTTGGCTCTGCTTTCTCATCTTCTAGCTCTGTTTGAAATGGTCCCTTCCTGCCTGCCTTTCCACCATGTGCTCTGTCTAGGCGACCTGTCGCAAAGCCACTCTGCACTTTGGAGCCTTTGTGAAGTGCCATGTCTGGGAGACGGGGAGACTGCCTTGGCTCAGAAAAGGGGCTCCAGTGAAGGAAAAAGCCCTTCAATTTTTGTCTGTGGAGAGAAAGGAAAGATTTTTCTTTCAGTAAGGATCTGGCATTCGGCTGATGTTGTTACTGACTGTGTTCTGTTTATCACAGTGGAAATTCAGTGTGAGGTCTGTGCCCAGGCTTGTTGTGGGCAGTCCCTTGGGCCGAAGAAGCATAAGAGAAGGGTGCTGTGCAGTGGCCAGCTTAGAGGGCAGATCCCATTTGAGTATTGCCAGGAGAGATTTGTTGCTTGCTGCCAGATCCCATATCTGGAAGGATGGATAGTGACTGCAGAAAACAGTCCTCCTCTAGAAACCTACCTCTGTTGCTTAGACAAACAATATTCAAGCACCACCTGTGGCCAGTGGGAGACATTTGGGAGGAACATTAAGAAAAGGCTGTGCTTGGAGCAAGAGCCTTTTTGACAGCAGCAGTAACTCTCATTTTCCTTCTTTGTCTAGACTGTCTGACATAAACAGAGAAAGCAGAAGGGTCTCCAAGGGAATTTTCCACTTCACTTAGCTCTAAGGAATGTATCTTCTCACTTATTTCGGACAGTGCTGCAATGGTCTTAACTGTATAGTTCTGTACCAGCCTCTGGGTGTGTCAAATGTATGAAAGCTCTTGTGCTGTCCAAGTCTGTAATTCCAGCTCTTCAGACAGCACATGGACTGATTTTGGCTGGACATATGGTTAAGAAGATGCTTTCAGAAGCTGATCTATGCAGAAAGAAATTAGAGGAGGGCTGAGTAGATCGTGCAGCAAGACAAAGATACGCCAGCAGGGGAAACATGATTTTGTCTGTATGATCCAGTGAGTTAATATAGCTCAGACATGTTCAGTACTCACATGACATATTTTTTCATGCAGGACACTGACGTGTGGCTTCTAAGTCTCAAGAGAATTTAGTTTGGAGTTTATGTCTGCTTTAGGTTGTCTACCTCTGGCTGCAGGTGTGCTGTTACCTTCACATCAGTGAAGCGCAGCAGTATTTCCACCAGGCCCAGTTTCTGGTGCACATCTAGATCCCATGGTCTCTCTTAGCTGGGAGTTATGTCACCCATCTCTCTCTGTGGCTGGGGAAGTGCTCAGAAGTGTGGCTAAAGTGGTATTTGGATGTGCTGGCATGAGGCATTGGGTCTCTTAAATTTTTACTGCTGCAGCTCAGGTATAATCATGACTGGAACCTTTTCCTGACCAAAGACCTCTAGAGTGAATCTGTGTTTAGCAGCCTGGATGTGATCCCAAATGTGCAAAATTCTGCAGCCAAATCAACACTTTTTTCCCCCCTTAGTTTTGAAATGTCAGGATCTGCTTATCTTGCTTTCTTTGAGTTACCTGTCTTCATAAATTAGTATTCCTTAACTCTCCCTTTCTTCCGCCCAAGTGAACCATAGCTAGGTGCATGCATGTATCATGGGAACATGTACCATTTGCTGCATTGAGATTTCTGCTGGGAAAGAGGAGGGAGCATGGATGTTACCTATGCCTCCCGCAGACACCTAATGCACTAAGCGGGTGAAGCGATCACTTCTACGGAGGGAATGGAACGGACATTGATATGCCACCTTCTCAGGAAGCTCCATGCTGCTATTTCCCCTTACAAGCTGCAGGTGTACCATACTTTCATGCAGCCTGGAGAGGGCTCTCCCAGCCTTGCAGACTCTGCACTCATCACTCAGGCAGTTATCAGCACTCCCTGCTGTGTTTTTCTACCCCCAAAATCGCCACGTGTCTTTTCTATTTTACAGCTCCCTAAAGGAGCAATGCTTTCACCAGTGTGCTACACCTACATGATTGCTCTTACTCCTTTGAATGCAGCTGAAATTTAATTCACTTGAAACGATGAGTATTTTCGTTATTCCTCAAGGTGAGAGGGATGGCTTCGCCTCTGCAGTTGGTACCTGTGCCCAGCATGAGAGACAGGGATGAACTGCTGGGTTGTGAGGCAGTGAAATCCAGAAGGGAGCAGCAGATACTGAAGCTGGAGAGATCCTTTCCGTCTTGGAACCCAAGAGGGTTAAGAACTTGCAGTTTGGCTCTGTTCACACCAACACATAGTCCCTGGGGAACGGAATGGTTTACATTTTCAGGGCAGTAGAGGAGTGATGGGTGTCTTGAGGAAGTGGGAGGTCGTCTGGAAGATCCTTCACTATGCATGTCCTAATATAAAGCCTTTGAAATCACATTTTATGTTTTGCTATATGTGTTTGCTATACTGCTGCTTATTCTGCTGCACTGTTGGCTGTAAAACCTACAGTCTGTGTTGAATGTTCACAAACTGCAGTGCCAAAGTAAGCACTGCCAAGATCAAGACAGTGGCTTAAATAGCACAAGATTTTAAAAAAACCCACAAGAACTGCTGAGATCTTTTGCTTTGCTGTCTGTTCTCTGAGTCTTGGGACGCACGTTTCCAAGCTTTCCTCCACGCCCTGGATGTCTAGGGATTTACAGGGACAGCGTGGTTTAGTCCTGCATCTCCATTGCCTGCCTCTTATGAAAGAGGCATTTAGACCAGCAGGATTTTGCCCTGCCCATGTACCTGGCTATATGGACTATTGACGATCTGATCCCAGCTCTCACTCTTTTGTTCTTACTTAAGGCACCAGCAGCATTTGCCTGCAGCACATCCAGATTCATTTCCTTTGGGTAACTTACAAGCACCTGGAAAGTGTCCCGTTTCCCTGGTTCCTCTTTAAACTTTAGACAAACTTGTAATGAAAAGAAACTTTTTCCACAGTGGACCACATGGTTAAGTGCTTAACTCCTATACCAGTAGCAAGGTTAACAAGAGCAACATCAGTGTTTACACAGTGTCTCCTTCATTGAGTGGTCTTGATTTGCCTGGGGAGATGAGAGGTTGTGCTGACAGCTCATGTGCTTCTGGTCTCCAGCAAGACCTGTGCAGGCAGCTGAGCTCCCTCTACCTCCTTCATCCTGGAGGGGGTCCTGGTACCCACCTCTCTCTAGACCTCTTGTCCCATGTCTTGCCCTCCTAAGGCAGATGGCTTCTGGGTCATGTAGTTCTACAGATGCCAGTTCCTCCTGCTCAGTTCCCTGATCATCCCTCCTGATGTTTGGGATGTAATATAAGGTCTTCTCAGAGTTTCTGCAAACGTATCTTTAAACTTTAGCATGTTTTGTACTGCTCACAGCATTTTCAGTATGGTTAAAATCTCTCTGGGTTAAAGTGTACATTTCTCAAGCAGCAGTCACCATGCCTCACTCTTATGGAACTCATAACCTCTGGCCCACTGTTAGCTCTTCATAAATTACATCTGTGTGGTGGGATGCAGCAGCTTTTCCCACATGGCAAGTTGGATTGCGTACCCTGGCTGTGTTGTGTCCGTGTGCTGTGATCAGAGCTGAGCACTCTTCAGTGCCTCTGAAATCAGCTGGCACGGGTGTCACCTTTTTGGTGTAGGTGCTTGCATTTAGTGGGTGTGTGTTTAAAACAATAGTCCCAAGGAATGGAGATGCAAGAAAGGGTGGAAGAAAGACACAAGTCATGTCGAATTTGTGTACTCTAAACAGAGAGCTTTTCCTAAACAAAGAGAAATTGTTAGTTACATCAGATGAAATACTGAAATCCCGTGGTAAGGAAGGCAGTCCAAGCTTCTCCTTGTCCTGGAAGAAAACATAAAAGTTACATCCAAATTTAACTATGTACATATTAAAAAGTGGTCTGGAGAAGTGTGCATTTTAAATCACCCCTCCTTAGTGAGTAACTCAGTCATCCAATCAGTTCTTCATTAAACAGAGCAAATTACTCTTTGAGGACTGTGGAGTGTGTTCATATTTCACTGTTCCAGTGCAGCTATTTCACTATTACATAGTTATTAAGTCCTCTTGGGCATCTTGCAACAGTTCTGGTTCCAGCAAATCTTTCCGACTGTTGTATTCTTCTGGTGTTAAACTGATTATTTTTCCACTGAAGGAGTCAGTCATTTTTAATATATACATCTGCTGTAAAATAAGAGGCAGCTCTTCAAATGGTTATTTGTCATCATGTTTACTGTATAGTTGACTGCAATACTTTGGCTGAAACTTTTTTTGGAAAAAAGTTAGGACTGCTGGAGCTGGAATGTTAGTGTGTCCTTGTCTTTAAAAAGGAGACAGAAATAAGAGAAATTGAATAGTCAACATAATTTGTTTTGGTATTCTGTTATGAAGTGCTTAATCCCTTCTTTCAGAGTGGCGTTCTTGGAAGGCACAGAAGGGTTGAATTGGTAACAGGGAACAACTAATGAGTTTGCCTTAAAATTCTTGTGATGGAAAGCAGCAGATGCAACTGACAAAATGTGCTACCATGGTTGGAGGCTCATGATACCCAGTGACCAGCCTGAGCCCTGCCACCTGACTGGCCAGCCCTTGCAGAGCCCCTGGGTGCTCCTGCTGGCGAGGGAGAGGAGCATGGGAGCAGCACCCAGTGCTCGCCCCTACCACCTCTCTGGCAGCCTGAGAAATAGCCAGGCCTTGTGTCCTCAGCCTCGGGAAGCCAGTGTTTAATTTTACCTTTGCTGCCGAGATCTTGTGGAAGCTCTGAGAGCACTGCAGGATTCAGTCTGTAGCCAGATAGACGGAGAGCTGGGTTTAGATGCTGTTGCTGCTGCTGGGTAGTGTCTTGCTTCACGTGGCAGCTCCACTGAAATACCTAACGGCATCAGAATCTAGCCCTGCATAAGCAATTGAGCTGCACTTTCACACAGCCTGCATGTCTTTCCCTTTCATCACCTTTTGAAGCCGTGCCGAGTTTGGTGACATAATTGTGTGGTCTTCAGCATCAGATGCGTTGCAGATGGCCCTGCAGCTCATGGACCAAGAGGCTGTAGCAGTGCGAAGCCGACAGCGATCTGGTGACTTGGCTGAAGGCTTTCTGCACTTTGCAGGAGTGAGTGCTCTGGGTTACGTGTTTGCAGCCTAACTGTCTGTGTCAGCTAGGCTTTGCATCAGCCTCCGTCCCAGCTGTGCCATTGGTTTGATGATTCTGGTCTCCCAAAGCAGAGGTGCCATAAACAATTTAAAAACAAATGGCAATGATGGAAAGGCTCCATTTGGCGTGGCTGGACTGAGACTTCAGGCTAATTTCAGGTTACATGTATTTTTAATGTATGTATTTGATAAGTGTCTGAAGTCATATTACTGGGGAGGGGGACTGTGGATCACAAGGCCTGGTTTCATTTTTAGGTCTGAGACAAACTTTCAAAGTGACATCTCAGCTTTCCCGAGCTTCATTGGCCATTATTAAAATTAGTTGAATGCTTTTTCCATGCTGTCATGCTGAAGAACTGCCCAACCTAAGCCACTGCTCTCTTCTACTTAAAATTTTTCAAATAAGAAGTAATGACTGATATCTTCTGTCAGTTGCCCAAAGCTGAATGTATATAGAGGCAATATTGCTGTCTTTCTAAAGAAAAACGCCAACAGAAAATGAAATTAAACAGAGAAAAAGAAAGCTCTTCTGAGATGACACAGCAACAGTATTGAAAACCTAGAAAGTCTAAACCTTAAACAGCAATATTAGCAAGCCAAATTTTCATGTTGGATGTGTATAGTAATGTACTTTTTTGTTGCCACGTGATGATTGCTGTGCCAGGGCACTGAGTTCCTGTTCTTCGGTCTTAGTGGCTACTGTAAGTCAAGCCAGTCCTCCAAGAGCATGAGTACATGCTTAAATGGGAGTCAGGGGGCTGGCTGCTCAGCAGGCACTGTGTATGTTGTCATGAAAACCCTTCCCAATCAGGTCAGAGCTGCTGGGTTTCAGTTGCTGAGTGCAAGTTTATTGCCACAAGATGTCTGAGACCATATGTGCTCCTCATCTGCCCTCCCAGGAGGTCCCAGTGCCATGCACCTTGGAAGTGCTGATTGCTGAGGGCCAGACACCTTTGCAAACACTCATTTTAAATTACCCTCGGGGAGGGATGAGTGGTATGAGACATTGTGGAGTTCTGGTCATGTTTGGTATCGTGCCATGCAGGTTGGGCTGGAAACCTGCAGCTGATGATGCGACACGGGAATGAGTGTGAAACCTTGGAAGTATGGAAATAGATTTCTGACCACCTCTTTAGCGAAGTTAAAAGAGAAATGGCTTTGTATTGGCTTAAGTCTTTCCCTGTAGTGGTGACAAGCCAGCTGTCCCATGTTGTGCTACCACAGGGCAGTCACAGGCAGGCTGGTGTGGGCACAGCTGTGGGAGTGTGTCTGGGAGGGAATGGTGTCCACAGTCCCAGTTGGGAGTGGAGGGCAGGAACTATCCATGTATATGTTGACGGAGGGAAGGGAGAAGAAAGTACAAGAGAAAACAAGAATTTTTTTCCAACACCAGCAGGGAGAGAGGAAGGATTCAGCCCCGTGGTGAATGAAGTGAGAACTCAGATAACTGAGGGACCTCAGGGTCTGGTGGGGGTAAGCATCAGAGAATCTGATGAGTTAATATGGATGTTTCTGAAAGAAGGTGATGTGCCTGAAGATAGGGGGTATTATTTTTAGCACATTCCCACCATTCTATCTGTTGTTTTCCTTGGGGAGAAGCAAGTGTTTTCTTAAGACTGGATTCCTGCAGAACAAGCTGCTAATAATTGCAGTAAGGGTGGCAGAAACAGAACCTGTGAATCCAAACATAGGAGCCTCCATGAAATTAGCCATATATGAAAGGAGCCATTTGATGTTTTCAGCAAGCGGGGCTTTTTGCAAATATATATTTTTACTGATTGTGCTGTATAAATATATTTTTCAAAACCTCAAAATTTTGTTATGGTTACAAGCAGTCCCTATAAAAACTGAGAAAGCAAATAGTGAAACTCTGAAATGCTCTGTAGGAGCTTTTGAGTAATTTGGTGCCCCTTTGTATGGAAGGAAATCACTGTTTCAGGAAGCTTTGCAGCTTTAACAAAATGTTTATGATACTGCATGGTAGTAGATGGCCAACGCAGAAAATGGTAGCAATTTGCTTAAGGTACTTGTAAAATGGTGCAAATTTCATTGCCTTGCTCCAAGCAGCTGGCCCTGGTTTGAGGGATTCAAGCTAGGAATTTGTCTCTGCTGTCACTGCAGGGCTACTTCCTCTGATGTGTAACATTTCCTTGCATTCCGTGCAGATCTAATCAAAGCCCTGTGACAGTAGAATATATTACTATCATAAAAGTAAGGGTTGGTTTTCATCAAGAGCTTGCTGTAGGGTTAAGGAGAGGGGAAATTATTGTTTATCATCACCTCATTGTAGGTCACCAGCATTGGTGATGGGTGGTTCAGAGCTCATAAGCAAAGTGGGAGGTGCCGGATGGGTGTTCTGGTGTTTGAAAACTTCACTCCTCTGAACTGCACCAGCATCAGCTCAGTGTCAGAGGGTCACTTAGATGCAGTCAGAGAGTGTACTGCATCAGTACACCCTTTCACTCCATCCTTCCTTCCAAATCTCCCACTTTGGGTGTTCAAACACCCAAATGTACCCAGATGTACACCCATATGTTATTATGAATAACATAAAATAGGAGTCCATGTACATTGGTAATGTATGGCTCAGCAGTCTGCTAGCTATGGCATGTTAAAGATTCTGGAAGTCCTTTCTAAGGTTTGCTCTCCTGGTTTTTGTGGAGGCTTTGTTAACATGAAGGGTTGATTTTCCTCCCTAGAGGATCTTCTTGCTGTATATCCCATTGGTCAGGGATATTCTGTGGAGAAGCCGCTAGTTTTGCACGTCAGCATTGAAGACCAAAACACGAGTTGCTTTGTAGATATGTGTATTTGCAGTTCTAGATATCCCTGGGCTAAATCAAGGAAGATGGCATAGATTCTCTTTTACAAACCTGCAGAGCTGTGAGTGCATCTTCAGTATGAGTGCTTATGTTCAGATGCTTTTCATTACTAATTACTAATTGGGTAAAATCTTTGCCTACTATCCCAGCTAGGGATCGACAAAACATAATGTGATGAATTCAAGGGGCTGCTGCCATGTGTCTCAGTCATGTCTGCTCAGCTATGAAAGAACTATCTATAATGTTTAAAACAACCCAGGGCTTTGCATGAAGACATTGCTTTGAGTATGGCTGCAGAAGGTTACTTTTTGGAAGCAAAATGAAAAAAGAAAGTAATTTATTAGTAATGAAGATCTGTGCCTATCTGAGCCCAACCTAATGCAGAGCTTCTAAGAATAGCAATAATACTATTCTGGCCGTTTCCTTGACATGCACTTTACCTAGTATGTAGGAGTTTTGCACTTCAGGAGCCTTGGAGTGTGTGCCACCAGCTTCCTTTTTAGGGTAGAGAGCTATGTAAATACTTTTTTGAAAAATATTTTACAATAAATAATGTGGAATAAAGTTATTTAAAATAATCAGGACTGGTATTATTTTAAGACATGAATTGTGAACAGTTTTATATTACAAGTAGATAAATAACAGTGGTTTTATTTGCATTTTCCATGGAGAGGAAGAAACAAAGACACTGTTATTTTAGGGTGTCCATTTTCCAATGTACATCTCTGTGAAGAAACTTAATCTTTGAGAGCTATCAATGAAAGAGCAGAGGTTAATAGTGAGCCTGTGTTTTGTTCTCAGCAAACCTTTACCTCAGGAAGCTAACTTTTCTGATTTATGAAAGGTTTGCAATGGGAAATAAAAATGAAGAGTTTTAAGGTTTTTTTCCTTCAGTGCATGATGAAGCCTGAATTCCTACTCTCTGACTTTGTGAGTCTAAGGCATTTTTGGCAGGTTCTAGTGGAAATTTGAACGTGCACTTCAACTAGAGATGGAATGGAAAGACTTTAAATAAACATGTGAATCTCCAGTAGATTAAAAAAATCTGTGCTACTTTACCAGGTAAGGGAGCAAGTTTAGGTATATTGAGCTGGTTTTGAAAAGAGGTGTGAACCAACCTCCCCTCATGCAAGTATGATGCTTGAGGATGATTTTGATGAAGTCTGTGATGTGCATAAAGTAATGAACTAAAAACAGAGCCACAACATCCAGATTGCCAACACTTTGTATTCAAACCCAATCTTCATTTCAGAAATATCTTACTCATCATCTTTTTCCTGTGTTTTTGTTTTTAGTTTTGGTTTTTTTTTGCTTGGGTGTCTGTGTGTGTGAAAATCACCTTTTTTTTTTTTTTTTTTTTTTTTTTTTTTTTTTTAATTTTTTTTTTTTTTTTTTTTTTTTTTTTTTTTTTTAATTTTCAAAATCCTAGGTATCTAAATAACAGTTGAAGCTGTGAGTTTTTACTAGTTGTGGCTTGGTTATCACTTGTTGCTGTGTCCACAAATGACTGATGTAATCCATTTGCTGAGTGTTAAAGCACCCAAGATGAACAGATTAGTCAGAGCAGGGATGTAAAGGTGAAGGTGTCTGAGAGTCAGTTTCCTCCCACAACCCATCACACAAACCAATACAAAGTAAGCCAATGTTTCTCTCCCTCTTTGGGGATAAAGGTCCAGCAGCCAATAGTTGAGAGAAGTCTGGATGGAAATTGGGTGTTTGAATAGAAGTATTTTATTAAAAGTAAAATTCTCATATAAAGTGAATAATATGAACTAAGCATGCGAAGCTTTGTGCCTTATGGATGTGGGTAACCACTGCTGAATGAGGTTGGAGTGAAAACTGGTGCAGAAAGAGAACTGCTGCCTGCTGTGACTTTCCATAAGCCTATCTCCCATCAGGAAAATGATACACAACATTTTCTTCAGCCTTTGAACGAGCAGCACCTCGCTCTTCACTTGACTGCTTCTGTAATATGCCACTGATTTTAATAAGATTCCACTGATGTGAAAGGAGAGCAATGGAGTGAAGATTTAGGTTCGCAAGAAGTAACCCAGGTGTGCAGCATAAAGTTGCTGCCACGGTTTAGTTAGCCTCCTAACGAGCAGTGCAATTTTGGTGGGTGTGTCTTCTTTACTGG